TCCAGCCTCCTGACTTGGTATCTGCTTCTTCCCACACCTCTTCACTTTATCCCACACCCCTGGCTCTCCTTGGCCAGCTCTATCGCTGCCAACAGTCTGAGCGGTCCTTTCTTCAGTACGCCGTGATTTAACACGCCTGCCGCCAGCGCCACATACAGGTCCGCCAGCTGAGCCTGCATAACCGCTGTTATCCCTGACCACTTCTGGGAATGCCAATGACGATAGCTTCCCTCTGCCGCTCCCCAACTCTCCCGGGTTTCATCCCGTAGCTGTGTTAGTTTAAAAGAGCCTCATGGCCTCTATGGCCGCACTTTGTCATGTAACTCTTTGGTCAGCAGTTTTTATTTCTTCCAAGCCAAGGGGTTGGTTCTCCAAGAGCCCCCTTACGAACTCAGACGCTTTTCCCTTTGTGGCATCGTATGCCAAATACAGGGGATTTCTTGGTCCGAGAGCTCGTAGATGGTTCGGCTTTTCTCGAGGATTGCCAGCCAGTTCTTAAACTCCTTCCGCTGCCATCAAATACTGGGACCCTTGGTCCACCCAACAGCTTCCTTAGATCCACTGACAACCCCCGCCCCCACTTCTTCTTCACCCCCCACTGCTCTATCCGACTCATAATCTGACATGTCTACAGAGAAAGACAGTCTATACAGCAACAATCGAGGTTGGGAAATAAAATAAGGTGTCCTACCTTACAGACGATTCTGTTCCTTCTTTTCCTTTGGTCCCGGTCGTTCTGATTTCTGCTTGAACTTTCAGCAACGGCGGTCGATCGTGGGTCTTCTCAGGGCTGAAATCCTCGGTCACGGCACCACTTGACGGTTTCACACCTGGTCCAGGGTCGGATCCCTTGGTTGGGCGCCAACAGTGACGCCGCTCCTCCTGGTCGCTCCTCCTGGGTCCAAGCGGGCCGCCCAAACCCTTTGGTCAGATGATCACCAGCCTGCCTTTCCCGACTGGCCTCCAACACCTGGTCACTAAAGCAACTGTACCCGATCTCCGGTCTGTCTACCCACGCTGTGTTTAGATCTTAGACAGACGGGACCAGCAGGGATTGGGGCCGATACAAGTTGAGTCCGACGGGGGGTGGCAAAACACAACAAAACAAAACTCACGACACCAAACAAAATTGCTGATAAAAAGGGTAACAACTTTTTATATCTTAATGTCCGTTACATAAAAACAAAATTGTTCTCATTTCCCGACCCATCTGTGGACTATGGCACCAAGCTTCTATCACACAATAGAAAAATGTCGAATTACCTACTTCCTAGAATCATGTATGTATGTCGGAGTGTGGTTCAGTTCGACACTGGGGCTAATTTCTATCGATCGTTCGCAGTTGGTCCTTCTCTTCGACTTGAGTCGTATTCCTTCTTCTTCTTCGTCTGCTTGGGCTGGTAGTTTTCTTGTTTCAACTTGGAGGAAGATTTCTTGTTTCAACTTGGCCGCAATTCTCTGTCGTCCGAGGTGATCTCTTCTCGCTGCCGTCCGGGGATGAACTCTAACTTCTCATCGACTTTCGGCTTGTCTGCAGCTCCAATTCTTCTCAGGCTTTCAGGCAATCTTCTTCTTCATCTACTTGGCTGAAGTTCTCCTGTCTTCGACTTGGGCCGGAAGGATTTCTTGTCTGAGGGTTCTTTTGCCCGCAAAGGGGCGAGTGAATCGGGCCTGATGCCCGCGTTCAGGCTCTTTCCCTGCCCGCGGTCCAGCTGCCACTCAGCCGCCAACTCCAACTGCAACTCAACTTCAACTGATTTCTGTCGACTGGGGTCCTGCTTATATTGACGCCGCAACAAACTGGGGTGGGTCTGTCGGCGTCAGGGTTTTCTCGATAATTCCAAAAGCTGCATTAATTCTGTCTTCTCATTATCGTTATTGTTTTCACCCCTACTTCCTCACAGTGCCCTTGGTGGGGCGACATCCATCTCTCTTAGTCTCTCGTATGTCAGGTGACCGTCTTGACCACCGTTCCTCGATCGAGCATTTCTTTCCTTTTTCTTCCGCAGATCGTAAGATCGTCTTTCACCAATTGTTATTGATCGAACATCCTCTCCCTCTGTTTGCGGGCGTGGTTACATCGTTCTTGTTTAAAAAAACAAATCCAATTTTGCCCCTTTTTGCACGTACGCAAAATGACAATCTTGGCTTTTTCTCACCTGGGCTCTATCAACCGGCTCGCCGCTAATTAGATATGACTTCAGGGAAGAACATTGTCGCCATCTGTGGTCTGAGACAATCGTTTTTTTTCACCTCTGGTTTTTCTTTTCGTCAGACCCGGCAGTCAGAAAATCTTAATTATCTACATTAAAATATCTTTCACTTGTCAAATGTGGGGGGTCTAGTTTTTTTTAACAGGTCAAAATTCGTATACCTTTTCACCGGTCACTCCCCTCAACCCAAAGACACTTTTTCTCTGATTAAAAATTTCGTTTCTATTGTTCTAAAAAAAAATAAAAAATTTCTCTTCACTCCAAATTGATAAGGAGTTTTCCACGCAAAAGTCGGTCAGAGGCTTTTGACCGATATCTGGTCTACATCAGCGGCCCGTTTCGATATCATGTCTTTTTCCCTTTCTTTCTTTTTATTATTTCTAATTCTATTCTTCCCATTGTCTTTAAAAAAAAATAAAGTCGGCCACACGCAGACCTATCTCTACCATCAACTGGGTCATGCATCATACAACTCCCTTTCTTTCTCTTTCTTTCTTTTTCTTCCTTTCCTTCCTTTTTCTTTTCTTAGGATCGTCTAAGTACAAGTGAATTATTTTCAACTCAATTATTTCCCGTTTTAAAAAATCTAACGACTGGTTAATAAACCGAGTACAAAAAAAAAATTAAATCATATTTCTATGAATATTTCTAATAATGCAAGGTGCCACACAGGTACTACATATGCTTCAGGCCTAACTGTCAGCCAATTTACAAAATTCACACTACATAGAATTCCCCTTGGGTCTCCCCATCAGGTCCTGACACATCCATACACACTTTCTCAAAGAGAAAACTGGGTACACCTGTCTCGAAATGTGAAGCTGTTTCCTGCCTTATACATCGTTTTATAGCCCATTCCAATAACAAATTCTCCCTTTCAGATCATAGATTTTATCTGTCCCAACATGACCCAATTTCTCATGACACTGCTCCAATATTTTGGCTCTCAGTTCTATAGGTGCATACAATCTGAGCCTTACCTCCCTCATACTTCTCTGAGAGGTAATATAGCATTTTTTATTCTGTACTATATACTTAGAGGTATTACCTGCCTTGATTTTTGCTCTTAGGGCGGCTATCTCATTGTCCTCCTGAACCTCACTTATTGCTTCTTTCCAGTGAAGATCAGCCATAACTTGTGTACTCTCTTCTTGTCTCAGTCTTCAATAAAGTACAGTCCTTTAATCTATTGGAGTTGATTACCTGTATCTAGTAGGCCCTATCATCTACACTTTGCTCTACCCTTACTGATTCTACCTCCAGCTGTTTTGAAATTCTTGATAGCAAATCCCTGCATGTATTAACTCTACCGGCCAGGTACACTATTGTACCCACTCAATTTCAGTGCCCATGGCTGGATCTTTTTGTTAGTCCATTTAGCTTCCAGAAATTATTGGAGTAGTCATATGATGAAATCACTTTCTTCCTCTATTACATGCAACTTTAAAACACATAACTAAAATACATACCACACTATTACACAGAAGTAAATAAAATTATATGACTTTAATTTACATTTTAACATGCTTTTAATCTTATTTGTTTGTATGTTTATATTCCTATGAACATGAGGCTATCCTTGCTGGTAGGACGCAAGTTACCTGAATTAACACATTTTAGAAAGAAGTTGGGATAAACTTATCAAGATTACAGATAATGAAGATTTCAAGCTATTTAGTGGCTGTACTGCTTTTTAAAACAACAAAATATTGCCAAAGAATAAAGATAGTAAAAAAAGCTGTTACATGGGGAAAAAAACATTTTCTATCACACTCCATCTCATTATGGGCATATTTAGCCATGTTTGTACAAAACTTCAACTATTCTAAACTACCTCAGGGTGAAAATAAGGAATGAAGAGAAAACAAAAGAAAAGAAAAATGCATTTACATTCTAAAAAGTCAACATTTAATGCAGGTTTCTGTTTATTACACACTGAAGAGAAAAATAAAAAGACCATTTATGTAACTATTGACTGAAAGTAAGAAATAGCAATGAAGAGGAAGTGTTTAATTTGTTAGAAAAGAAAAAACTTTTATCAATTTTAATTTTCAACAAGAGACATGGTGGGAAGCAAAAAATAATAAATTAAAATCAATAAATGTTTCCTTACTTTTACATCGAATTTCTTGACTGGACATTTCCTTGACTTGTCAGGACTTTCACCTGAAATTTAAAACCAATAATATTATTTCAAACCAAAACAAAAATAAAAAAATATTGAGAAATGATAATGTCACCAAAAAGTTTAAGAGAATAAAATATTTTTTTTTAGAGAATGAAGAGAAAAATAAAAAGACCATTTATGTAACTATTGACTGAAAGTAAGAAATAGCAATGAAGAGGAAGTGTCTAATTTTCTAGAATAGAAAAACTTTTACCAATTTTAACTTTTCATCAAGAGACACCGTGGGACAAAAAAAAAAAAAATCTAAACTCAATAAATAAATCCTTTCCACCACAAAAAGTATTCCATAAGTCCTCATAATTCCTTACAAATTTTAAGAGACAATTTTGTTGTAAATTCTCTCGAGCAAAAGAAAAATGCACAAATTCACTTTTATCATGTGTTTAGGTTTTATTTGAATTCTAATTACTGTGTTTTCAAAAACAACAAAATTACGAAAGAGTGAAGGTACAAAGAAAAAAGCAGTGTTATGTGAAAATCATTTTCTCCACACTCTGTCTTATGGTGGGCACATTTATCAATGTTTGCACAAAACTTCAGGTATTTTAAAGTAACTCAGGGCAAAAATAAAGGATGAAGAGAAAACAAAACAAACTTACTTTCAAATATTTCAGCTTTTAATTTTTCCTTCCCTTTTTTACAGTCTGAAGAGAAAAATAAAAAGACCATTTATGTCAGCATTGACAGCAAGCAAAGAATAGCAACGAAGAGGAAGTGTTTAATTTGCTAGAAAAGAAAAAACTTTTATCAATTTTAATTTTCAACAAGAGACATGGTGGGAAGCACAAATAATAAATTAAAATCAATAAATGTTTCCTTACTTTTACATCGAAATTCTTGACTGGACATTTCCGGTGACTTGTCAGGACTTTTCACCTGAAATTTAAACCAATAATATTATTTCAAGGAAAAATACAAAATAAAAAAAAATATTGAGAAATGATAATGTCACTCAAAAGTTTAAGAGAATAAAATATTTTTTTTAGAGAATGAAGAGAAAAATAAAAAGACCATTTATGTAACTATTGACTGAAAGTAAGAAATAGCAATGAAGTGTCTAATTTTCTAGAATAGAAAAACTTTTACCAATTTTAACTTTTCATCAAGAGACACATCGTGGGACAAAAAAAAAAAAAAATCTAAACTCAATAAATAAATCCTTTCCACCACAAAAAAGTATTCCATAAGTCCTCATAATTCCTTTTACAAATTTTATCTCTGAGACAATTTTTTGTTGTAAATTCTCTCAAGGTCACAAAAGAAAAATGCACAAATTCACTTTTATCATGTGTTTAGGTTTTATTTGAATTCTAATTACTGTGTTTGCAAAACAACAAAAATAAATAATTTTCTCCACACCCTGTCTTATGGGGGCACATTTATCAATGAATGCACAAAACTTCAGGTATTTTAAAGTAACTCAGAGCAAAAATAAAGGATGAAGAGAAAACAAAATAAACTTACTTTCAAATATTTCAGCTTTTGTTGCTTCCTTCCATTCATTAACGACTGAAGAGAAAAATAAAAAGACCATTTATGTAACTATTGACTGAAAGTAAGAAATAGCAATGAAGAGGAAGTGTTTAATTTGCTAGAAAAGAAAAAACTTTTATCAATTTTAACTTTCATCAAGAAGCATGGTGAGGTGCAGAAAAAATTAATTAAAAATAAAATTAACAAATGAATAATTAACATCACAATAAAATTTTGTAAGTCCTAATTACTTACAAATTTTAAGAAGAGACAATTTTGTTGTTAATTCTCAAGAGCAAAAGAAAAATTCACAAATTCGCTTTCATCATGTGTTCAGGTTTTACTGGAATTCTAATTAATGCTTTTTCAAAACAACAAAAATTACGAAAGAGTGAAGGTAGTAAAAATCAGTGTTGTGCTAGAAGCCATCTTTTTCACACTCCATCTAATTGTGGGCATATTTATCTATGTTTGCCCAAAACTTAACTATTCTAAACTACCTAAGGATAAAAATAAGGGATGAAGGAAAAACAAAAGAAAAGAAAAACACGCTTACATTCAGGTTCTTTCACTTTATAAACTGAAGAGAAAAATATAAAGACCCTTTATGTAACTATTGACTGAAAGTAAGAAATAGCAATGAAGAGGAAGTGTTTAATTTTCTAGAATAGAAAAACTTTTACTAATTTTAACTTTTCATCAAGAGACATCGTGGAACAAAAAAAAAAATAACTTAAACTCAATAAATAAATCCTTTCCACCACAAAAAGTATTCCATAAGTCCTCATAATTCTTTACAAATTTTAAGAGACAATTTTGTTGTAAATTCTCTAGAGCAAAAGAAAAATTCACAAATTCACTTTTATCATGTGTTTAGGTTTTATTTGAATTATAATTACTGCGTTTGCAAAACAACAAAAATTGCCAGAGAGTGAAGGTACAAAGAAAAGCAGTGTTATGCGTAAATCATTTTCTCCACACTCTGTCTTATGGTGGGCACAAAATGTTTGCACAAAACTTCAGGTATTTTAAACTACCCCAGGGCAAAAATAAAGGATGAAGAGAAAAGAAAAGAAAAACACACTTACGTTCAAATATTTCAGCTTTTGTTGCTTCCTTCCATTCATTATAGACTGAAGAGAAAAATAAAAAGACCATTTATATAAGCTTTGACAGCAAGCAAAGAATAGCAACGAAGAGGAAGTGTTTAATTTGCTAGAAAAAAAAAACATTTACCAATTTTAGCTTTCATCAATAGACATGCTGGGATGCACAAAAAATAAATTAAAATCAATAAATGAAACCTTACCGAGATGTCGAATTTTTTCCATGAAGACTTCAATAATGTTGTCAGTATCTAGCTCTGAAATTAGAGCCAATCAAGTTAATCAAATGAAAATGAAAATATTAAGAAAACACAATGACACACAACAAAAGATTAATACCAACCATTTTTTTTTTAAATATAATATTATTATTATAATAAAGAAAAACATCATATGTTAATAAAGAAAACTGAAAACTTTTCTTTACCAACAAACCTCGTCCCCTGATGGACTTCATCAAGTCAAATATCAGAATTTTATTTTGCAACAAATATTTATAAACACAAAAAAGATATTAGATTTTCAACATTTTTATCTTTAAGAATTTTAATTTGTTTTAATTATTTCATATCAAACAAGGCAATAAAGCCATTAAAACACCTAAGCTTAATATTAGAATATGAGAAAATAAAACACTATTAAGGAGAGAGAACAATAAAAGTGCAGGAATTAAAGAAATAGAAGATAATCATTGATACTGCATTTAAATGTTTGAAGATCAAAGAAGGCTCATAAATATACTTCAGGAAATGAAAACCAAGGTAAACTATGGAGGATGCTAAGTGATGTAATTTAATACCTGATAAATAAAAGTGAGTAAATGTTGTATTGCTGTTGAATTTTTTTTTGTTTTAATTCTTATTTTCTTAACAATTATTTATTATTTTTGTTTGAAAATTTAATTCATGTATTGAATTATTTTAAATAATGAATATGTTTGTTACCCCCACGCCACCTAAACTTAACCTAACTTTGTAAGTAACATATATTGACTACATAAGCTGTCTAGGGAAATTAAAACACAACCACTCAGATCAGATTGAAACACAACCACTTAAATCAGATTGAATTTTCCATAACCTTAGCAAGATATAATATCAATATTGTCTGCACTTATAAATTAAGTAATATTTCTTAGAAAGTTATTCCTAGCATTGCTTGACAATTGAATGAGTCTATGGATTTTAAGTTTAATTTTTATAATTAAATTTATAAATTTAGTTTCAGTTTTGAAACAGAAATTTTCTGTGTCGCGATGGAATCATATTTTTAAAAAGAAAATAATTATATACTATATATATTATATAAAAAAAAATATATATATATAGCTGGTGGGTCATATTTGACGATACTTTCTATTAGGGCAGCATGTCAGTACCTATTGCAGATGGTTGTTCAGGCACATTTGTGTTTGTGAAACACCCACAGAGCCCAGCTGTGGTTTATACTGCAACTATGCTAAGCAGACCTTTCTGGGAAAGACTGTAGCGGACCCCTCGTGCGCCCCCGTATCACAAAAGGGTGATGAGGTCACAAGAGGCCCGCTAACATTTTTGAAGATGTTAAATCTGACGGTGAAACAACATGGACGACAGAACGAGGATATATATGATAATTTATTCTAGAAAAGAAATAAAGGTGGTCGGAACGGTAGAGATGCAGATGTTTCGGTGCAGGCATTGATGGTTGAGGTTGGTTGTTACAGATGATCGCTGCTGGTCATGCAAATGGTCGCTGCTGGTCATTGCAGATGATCGCTGTAGTTGAAGTTGATGTCGGTCGTTACAGATGATCGCTGCTGGTCATTGTAGTTTGAGGTTGATGTTGGTCATTGCCGGGATGCCAACTTGACGTGTTGGGAAGGAAAGAGGAGCTGGCGTTGTGATGTTGTTCGGGCATGTCACAGGTCCAGTGCAGGCGTTGTGTGTCTGCCGGTCAAGTCCGATATTAGTAACCTCCCGTAATAATTACAAACGTAGTGTACGGAAAGGTTACGGACAACGTGCAGGCAGCCAGTAAGGACAGAATGCCGAGAGTCGAACAGGGCCAAGGAGCCAGGAGTAGTAGGCAAAGGAGAAAGAGAAGTAAAGTTTTCAACTATCGTCAAGTTTGCAGACAAAAAAAAAAATGGGAGCATAACTTAATACGCAGCCCGGGTTGACGCCCTGTCCACGAAGACCAGGAGCCTGCGTATCTGACCGTTTCAGTCGCCGACCTCAAATTTAGCCAGAAGTCACTGTCTTGTGGTAAGGGAGACTAGCAAGAGAATTGGTGGGGCTAACACAGTAAAGTCTCTATAAAAAAATAATTCAAGTTTAGCTAAAAGGAAACTAAGGCCTAAAAATGTCTAGAAGTATATTACGACTAGGTTCATAATATAACTAAACTGAAAAGGTAACTTGCTAGTCTCTACCTTGAGTTAACAGCGTGTAGGGATCACAATCGAGAGGTCAAGGTTGAAATGATCTGTTCTCTTCTGCTTTAAGGAGCGAAGGAGGAGGTAACTCCGACAAGACCATGTTATGTAGCGTGACAAAAAAATTTGATGAAGATCATCATGCTCAAAACCTTGGTTCTAGCACAACTATCAATGTCCTCCAAGCATACCATCTACCCAGTTTCACTGACAAGGTTAGAATCAACCCGTGGTATGATATTCAGGCACTTTCTAAAGGTGCTGCATGCTGGGATCGCCCCCCCCTCTAAACAGATAACATCACAAAGACTCCTCCCTCCTGACAAACTAAACATGGTAAGATTCAAGCCCGATATCAGAAAGCAAATGTTCTAACCACTCGTCTAAATTTCATATATATATATATATATATATATATATATATATATATATATATATATGTTACACAACAAAATTGGAAATTACCTCATATGAAGTGGGGTTATAGATCTATTTCTACCAACAAAACTGCCTCAGTCTTATTCAACCCCGATGTATAAACTGTGTTCATGTTGGAATTAGAAATTTAACTTTGTATCAATCTGTATCAATTTTTGGACAGTTGTCAAAGTTAAATTTCCAATTCTGATGTTAACATAGTTTTTAAACTATTGTTGAATAAGACTGAAGGAGTTTTGTCAGTTGAAATAGATTTATACCCCCCCTATCATATGAGGTAAATTTTGATTTTGTTGTGTAATTTATATGCTCTGTTATAATAAATATATTGGAGCTCTTATTGTTGATCAGTTTTAATATTTTATATTACTTGAATCCACTACGTATATATATATATATATATATATATATATATATATATATATATATATATATATATATTAAAAAAAAAGAGAGAAAACCATAAATGTTTTTTGCTTGTAATGTGGATTTTTTTAAAAAATATTATGCTTTATTTTCCATAATTTTGCTACACGGGTTTCTGATCTCGTGACTGTCATCATGCAAAGGGTGGAGATTTCCACATATTATTAAATATAATTAATTTTTTTCTTTATGTTTTTTGATGTTAAATATTCTCGATATGAGACATTCTCTTTTTTGTGTGTTAGTGACCAAAATGTCTTTCTTGAACTGCGGTGAAAAGTTCTGCGTCATATCGAGAATATTTAACACTGTTGATCAATGTTCTCATATAAATTTACAAAAGTGAGGATTATGTCCTTTCCTAGAAATTGTAGCAACTCATCATTTTGCACAGAAGCAGAAATTTTATTTGTTTATCTTGGCATTGTCAGAGGACCAGGTGATACGTTTGATGCTAAATAATCAAATACTGATGGTGGATTTCTATGTTGTGCTTTACCTTTAATAACCACTATTTCATAATCAATTGGTAATGTTTTGTGAGGTGTTGTCCTGAATTATAACCTTTAACCTTCGTTCTCGGTCATTTCATTCTGGGGGAGATGAAATACACAAACCAAAATAAGGTCATCTTTGTAACCTGTTACACACATACATTGTACTTCTAAAAGTTAAATAATTGGATTCTGCAACCTGATTGGACAAGGACAAGTCACATGATGTTCTCTTAATGACATCTGCATGGTTGAACTCTAAATGACTTGCAATTACTTTAGGCCTTTAGTCACTGATACATTCCCACCAAAAATCAGATTTTGTGAGCTAACCACTGAATCACGATAAGTCATAAAAGCGTCTTGTCAGCAATAGTCAGAGATGATACTTGAAACAGAATAGTCAGCAACAAATCTGAACTAGACTGACACAACATATATATACACATCTGACAGAATGCGAATACGTCCAGTTAACCACCCACTTGACACTGGCGAAAATATCATTGATAAAGTCCAGGTGACTTTCGGTTAAGATAGAGATTAAGGATCACACTACGAGTCATAGGGGTTTGGCGTCGGAAAGGGAAAGAAAGGAAAAAATCTACATCTGTCTGCGTCTCTCCAACTCCAACTGCAACTACTTTTCAACTGACTCTACTCGCTGCGACTCTGCTTATATGCACTTTGCTCTACCCTTACTGATTCTACCTCCAGCTGTTTTGAAATTCTTGATAGCAAATCCTTGCACGTATTAACTCTACCGGCCAGGTACACTATTGTACCCACTCAATTTCAGTGGTAGGACGCAAGTTACCTGAATTAACATATTTTAGGGAGAAGTTGGGATAAACTTATCAAGATTACAGATAATGAAGATTTCAAGCTATTTAGTGGCTGTACTGCTTTTTAAAACTACAAAAATTGCCAAAGAGTAAAGATAGTAAAAAAAGCTGTGACAGAGGAAAAAAAAAAACATTTTCTATCACACTCCATCTCATTATGGGCATATTTAGCCATGTTTGTACAAAACTTCAACTATTCTAAACTACCTCAGGGTGAAAATAAGGAATGAAGAGAAAACAAATGAAATGAAAAATGCACTTATGTTAACAAGTCAGCATTTACTGCACGTTTCAGTTCATTACACAAATTAAAGTCAACAAATGTATGCTTAACATTACAATAAAATTTTGTAAGTCCTCATAATTCCTAATGGATTTTACGATGAGATAGATTTTTTGTAAATTCTCAAGAGCAAAAGAAAAATTCACAAATTCACTTTCATCATGTGTTCAGGTTTTACTTGAATTCTAATTAATGCTTTTTCAAAACAACAAAAATTGCCAAAGAGTGAAGTTAGTTAAGTAAAATAAGCAGTGTCATGGGAAAAAACTTTTTTTTTCATACTCCGTCTTATTATAGGAACATTTATCCATGTTTGTACAAAACTTCAGGTATTTTAAACTACCTCAGAACAAAAATAATGGATGAAGAGAAAACAAAAGAAAAGAAAAATACACTTACGTTCCAAAAAGTCAGCATTTAATGTACATTTCAGGATACTATAGTCTGAAAAGTAAAATAAAAAGACCATTTATATAAACATTGACTGCAAGCAAGGAATAGCAAGGAAGAGTAAGTGTTTAATTTTCTAGAAATTAAAAACATTTACAAATTTTAGTTTTCATTAAGAAGCATGGTGGGACTCAGAACACAATAAATTAAAATCAATAAATGAATCCTTACAATCAGAAAAAAATTTCTTAAGACCTCATAATTCTTTACAAATTTTAAGACCAGACAGTTTTATTATGTGTTTAGGTTTTATTTGAATTCTAATTATTGCGTTTTCAAAACAAAAAAAATTCCCAAAGAGTGACGGTATTAAAATAAGCACAATTATGCGAAAATCATTTTTTGTCACACTCCGTCATATGGTGGGCATGTTTATAAATATTTGCTCAAAACTTAAGGCAAAAATAAGTGATGAAAAGGAAACAAATAAAAGAAAAGAAAAACATACTTACATTTAAAAATTGCAGCATTCATTACTGAAGAGTAAAATAAAAAGACCATTTATGTAACCATTGACTACAAGCATAGAATAGCAATGAAGAAGAAGTGTTTAATTTGTTTAAGACCTCATAATTCTTTACAAATTTTAAGACAAGATAGTTTTGTTATAAATTCTCAAGAGCAAAAGAAAAATTGACAATAGGTTTTATTTTAATTCTAATTATTCATTTTCAAAACAACAAACATTGCCAAAGAGTGAAGGTAGAAAGAAAAGCAATTAAAATTAAAATTGAAATTAGAACGAATCAAATTATTCAAATGAAAATAAAAAATATTCAGGGATTAATAAAAAAGTTATTTTTTAATAAATATAGTATTAGAGAGTGTAGAGAAAAATAAAATGACAATACATGTAAGTATTGACTGTAGGTAAGGAATAGCAGTGAAGAGGAAGTGTTTAATTTGCTAGAAAAGAAAAACTTTTATCAATTTTAATTTTCAACAAGAGACATGGTGAGAAGCACAAATAATAAATTAAAATCAATAAATGTTTCCTTACTTTTACATCGAATTTCTTGACTGGACATTTCCGTTGACTTGTCAGGACTTTCACCTGAAATTTAAACCAATAATATTATTTCAAGGAAAAACAAAATAAAAAATATTGAGAAATGATAATGTCACTCAAAGTTTAAGAGGATAAAATATTTTTTTTAAAATATAATATTAGAGAATGAAGAGAAAAAATAAAAGACCATTTATGTAACTATTGACTGAAAGTAAGAAATAGCAATGAAGAGGAAGTGTTTAATTTGCTAGAAAAGAAAAAACTTTTATCAATTTTAATTTTCAACAAGAGACATGGTGGGAAGCACAAATAATAAATTAAAATCAATAAATGTTTCCTTTTACATTGAAATTCTTGACTGGACATTTCCGTTGACTTGTCAGGACTTTCACCTGAAATTTAAAACCAATAATATAATTTCAAGGAAAAACAAAAATAAAAAATATTGAGAAATGATAATGTCACTCAAAAGTTTAAGAGGATAAAATATTTTTTTAAAATATAATATTAGAGAATGAAGAGAAAAATAAAAAGACCATTTATGTAACTATTGACTGAAAAGTAAGAAATAGCAATGAAGAGGAAGTGTTTAATTTGCTAGAAAAGAAAAACTTTTTTATCAATTTTAATTTTCAACAAGAGACATGGTGGGAAGCACAAATAATAAATTAAAATCAATAAATGTTTCCTTACTTTTACATTGAAATTCTTGACTGGACATTTCCAGTGACTTGTCAGGACTTTCACCTGAAATTTAAACCAATAATATTATTTCAAGGAAAACAAAAATAAAAATATTGAGAAATGATAATGTCACTCAAAAGTTTAAGAGAATAAAATATTTTTTTTTAAATATAATATTAGAGAATGAAGAAAAATAAAAAGACCATTTATGTAACTATTGACTGAAAGTAAGAAATAGCAATGAAGAGGAAGTGTTTAATTTGCTAGAAAAGAAAAACTTTTATCAATTTTAATTTTCAACAAGAGACATGGTGGGAAGCACAAATAATAAATTAAAATCAATAAATGTTTCCTTACTTTTACATTGAAATTCTTGACTGGACATTTCCGTTGACTTGTCAGGACTTTCACCTGAAATTTAAACCAATAATATAATTTCAAGGAAAACAAAAATAAAAAATATTGAGAAATGATAATGTCACTCAAAAGTTTAAGAGGATAAAATATTTTTTTTAAAATATAATATTAGAGAATGAAGAGAAAAATAAAAAGACCATTTATGTAACTATTGACTGAAAGTAAGAAATAGCAATGAAGAGGAAGTGTTTAATTTGCTAGAAAAGAAAAACTTTTATCAATTTTAATTTTCAACAAGAGACATGATTGGGAAGCACAAATAATAAATTAAAATCAATAAATGTTTCCTTACTTTTTACATTGAAATTCTTGACTGGACATTTCCGTGACTTGTCAGGACTTTCACCTGAAATTTAAACCAATAATATTATTTCAAGGAAAACAAAAATAAAAATATTGAGAAAATGATAATGTCACTCAAAAGTTTAAGAGAATAAAATTTTTTTTAAATATAATATTAGAGAATGAAGAGAAAAATAAAAAGACCATTTATGTAACTATTGACTGAAAGTAAGAAATAGCAATGAAGAGGAAGTGTTTAATTTGCTAGAAAAGAAAAACTTTTATCAATTTTAATTTTCAACAAGAGACATGGTGGGAAGCACAAATAATAAAATTAAAATCAATAAATGTTTCCTTACTTTTACATTGAAATTTTGACTGGACATTTCCGGTGACTTGTCAGGACTTTCACCTGAAATTTAAAACCAATAATATAATTTCAAGGAAAACAAAAATAAAAAATATTGAGAAATGATAATGTCACTCAAAAGTTTAAGAGGATAAAATATTTTTTTTAAAATATAATATTAGAGAATGAAGAGAAAAATAAAAAGACCATTTATGTAACTATTGACTGAAAGTAAGAAATAGCAATGAAGAGGAAGTGTTTAATTTGCTAGAAAAAAAAACTTTTATCAATTTTAATTTTCAACAAGAGACATGGTGGGAAGCACAAATAATAAATTAAAATCAATAAATGTTTCCTTACTTTTACATTGAAATTCTTGACTGGACATTTCCAGTGACTTGTCAGGACTTTCACCTGAAATTTAAACCAATAATATTATTTCAAGGAAAACAAAAATAAAAAATATTGAGAAATGATAATGTCACTCAAAAGTTTAAGAGAATAAAATATTTTTTTTTTAAATATAATATTAGAGAATGAAGAGAGAATTAAAAAGATCATTTATGTAACTATTGACTGAAAGTAAGAAATAGCAATGAAGAGGAAGTGTTTAATTTGCTAGAAAAGAAAAACTTTTATCAATTTTAATTTTCAACAAGAGACATGGTGAGAAGCACAAATAATAAATTAAAATCAATAAATGTTTCCTTACTTTTACATTGAAATTCTTGACTGACATTTCCGTTGACTTGTCAGGACTTTCACCTGAAATTTAAACCAATAATAATTTCAAGGAAAACAAAAATAAAAAAAATATTGAGAAATGATAATGTCACTCAAAAGTTTAAGAGGATAAAATATTTTTTAAAATATAATATTAGAGAATGAAGAGAAAAAATAAAAAGACCATTTATGTAACTATTGACTGAAAGTAAGAAATAGCAATGAAGAGGAAGTGTTTAATTTGCTAGAAAAAAAAACTTTTTATCAATTTTAATTTTCAACAAGAGACATGGTGGGAAGCACAAATAATAAATTAAAATCAATAAATGTTTCCTTACTTTTTACATTGAAATTCTTGACTGGACATTTCCGTTGACTTGTCAGGACTTTCACCTGAAATTTAAACCAATAATATAATTTCAAGGAAAACAAAAATAAAAAATATTGAGAAATGATAATGTCACTCAAAAGTTTAAGAGGATAAAATATTTTTTTTTTAAATATAATATTAGAGAATGAAGAGAAAAATAAAAAGACCATTTATGTAACTATTGACTGAAAGTAAGAAATAGCAATGAAGAGGAAGTGTTTAATTTGCTAGAAAAGAAAAACTTTTATCAATTTTAATTTTCAACAAGAGACATGGTGGGAAGCACAAATAATAAATTAAAATCAATAAATGTTTCCTTACTTTTACATTGAAATTCTTGACTGGACATTTCCGGTGACTTGTCAGGACTTTCACCTGAAATTTAAACCAATAATATTATTTCAAGGAAAACAAAAATAAAAAATATTGAGAAATGATAATGTCACTCAAAAGTTTAAGAGAATAAAATATTTTTTTTTAAATATAATATTAGAGAATGAAGAGAAAAATAAAAAGACCATTTATGTAACTATTGACTGAAAGTAAGAAATAGCAATGAAGAGGAAGTGTTTAATTTGCTAGAAAAGAAAAACTTTTATCAATTTTAATTTTCAACAAGAGACATGGTGGGAAGCACAAATAATAAATTAAAATCAATAAATGTTTCCTTACTTTTACATTGAAATTCTTGACTGGACATTTCCGGTGACTTGTCAGGACTTTCACCTGAAATTTAAACCAATAATATAATTTCAAGGAAAACAAAAAATAAAAAATATTGAGAATGATAATGTCACTCAAAAGTTTAAGAGGATAAAATATTTTTTTAAAATATAATATTAGAGAATGAAGAGAAAAAAAAAAAGACCATTTATGTAACTATTGACTGAAAGTAAGAAATAGCAATGAAGAGGAAGTGTTTAATTTGCTAGAAAAAAAAACTTTATCAATTTTAATTTTCAACAAGAGACATGGTGGGGAAGCACAAATAATAAATTAAAATCAATAAATGTTTCCTTACTTTTTACATTGAAATTTTGACTGGACATTTCCGTTGACTTGTCAGGACTTTCACCTGAAATTTAAACCAATAATATTATTTCAAGGAAAACAAAAAAATAAAAAATATTGAGAAATGATAATGTCACTCAAAAAGTTTAAGAGAATAAAATATTTTTTTTTAAATACAATATTAGAGAATGAAGAAAAATAAAAAAAGACCATTTTATGTAACTATTGACTGAAAGTAAGAAATAGCAATGAAGAGGAAGTGTTTAATTTGCTAGAAAAGAAAAACTTTTATCAATTTTAATTTTCAACAAGAGACATGGTGGGAAGCACAAATAATAAATTAAAATCAATAAATGTTTCCTTACTTTTTACATTGAAATTCTTGACTGGACATTTCCGTTGACTTGTCAGGACTTTCACCTGAAATTTAAACCAATAAAGTTATTTCAAAGGAAAACAAAAATAAAAATATTGAGAAATGATAATGTCACTCAAAAGTTTAAGAGAATAAAATATTTTTTTTAAAAAATAATATTAGAGAATGAAGAGAAAAATAAAAAGACCATTTATGTAACTATTGACTGAAAGTAAGAAATAGCAATGAAGAGGAAGTGTTTAATTTGCTAGAAAAGAAAAAACTTTTATCAATTTTAATTTTCAACAAGAGACATGGTGGGAAGCACAAATAATAAATTAAAATCACTAAATGTTTCCTTACTTTTACATTGAAATTCTTGACTGGACATTTCGTTGACTTGTCAGGACTTTCACCTGAAATTTAAACCAATAATATTATTTCAAGGAAAACAAAAATAAAAAATATTGAGAAAAATAATGTCACACAAAAGTTTAAGAGAGAATAAAATATTTTTTTTTAAATATAATATTAGAGAATGAAGAGAAAAATAAAAAGACCATTTATGTAACTATTGACTGAAAGTAAGAAATAGCAATGAAGAGGAAGTGTTTAATTTGCTAGAAAAGAAAAACTTTTATCAATTTTAATTTTCAACAAGAGACATGGTGGGAAGCACAAATAATAAATTAAAATCAATAAATGTTTCCTTACTTTACTTTACATTGAAATTCTTGACTGGACATTTCCGGTGACTTGTCAGGACTTTAACCTGAAATTTAAACCAATAATATTATTTCAAAGGAAAACAAAAATAAAAAAATATTGAGAAATGATAATGTCACTCAAAAAAAAAAGAGAATAAAATTTTTTTAAATATAATATTAGAGAATGAAGAGAAAAAATAAAAAGACCATTTATGTAACTATTGACTGAAAGTAAGAAATAGCAATGAAGAGGAAGTGTTTAATTTGCTAGAAAAATAGAAAAAACTTTTATCAATTTTAATTTTCAACCAAGAGACATGGTGGGAAGCACAAAAAATAAATTAAAATCAATAAATGTTTCCTTACTTTTACATTGAAATTCTTGACTGAACATTTCCGGTGACTTGTCAGGACTTTCACCTGAAATTTAAACCAATAATATTATTTCAAGGAAAATGAAAATAAAAATATATTGAGAAATGATAAAAACAAACAAAAGTTTAAGAGAATAAAATATTTTTTTTAAATATAATATTAGAGAATGAAGAAAAAATAAAAAATCAATAAATGACCATTTATGTAACTATTGACTGAAAGTAAAAAATAGCAATGAAGAGGAAAACAAAATAATTTGCTAGAAAAGAAAAAAATTTTATCAATTTTAATTTTCAACAAGAGACATGGTGGAAAGCACAAAAAATAAATTAAAATCAATAAATGTTTCCTTACTTTTACATTGAAATTCTTGACTGGACATTTCCATTGACTTGTCAGGACTTTCACCTGAAATTTAAACCAATAATATTATTTCAAAGGAAAAAAAAATAAAAATATTGAGAAATGATAATGTCACTCAAAAGTTTAAGAGAATAAAATATTTTTTTTTAAATATAATATTAGAGAATGAAGAAAAAATAAAAAGACCATTTATGTAACTATTGACTGAAAGTAAGAAATAGCAATGAAGAGGAAGTGTTTAATTTGCTAGAAAAGAAAAACTTTTTTATCAATTTTAATTTTCAACAAGAGACATGGTGGGAAGCACAAATAATAAATTAAAATCAATAAATGTTTCCTTACTTTTACATTGAAATTCTTGACTGACATTTCCGTGACTTGTCAGGACTTTCACCTGAAATTTAAACCAATAATATTATTTCAAAAAACAAAATAAAAAATATTGAGAAAAATAATGTCACACAAAAAAAGTTTAAGAAAATAAAATTTTTTTTAAAATATAATATTAGAGAATGAAGAGAAAATAAAAAAGACCATTTATGTAACTATTGACTGAAAGTAAGAAATAGCAATGAAGAGGAAGTGTTTAATTTGCTAGAAAAAAAAAAACTTTATCAATTTTAATTTTCAACAAGAGACATGGTGGGAAGCACAAAAAATAAATTAAAATCAATAAATGAAATCTTACTTTTACATTGAAATTCTTGACTGGATTTAAACAACTTGTTCAGACTTTCACCTGAAATTTAAACCAATAATATTATTTCAAGGAAAATGAAAAATAAAAAAAATTGAGAAAAATAATGTCACACAAAAAAAAGAGAATAAAAAGGTTTTTTTTTAAATATAATATTAGAGAATGAAGAGAAAAATAAAAAGACCATTTATGTAACTATTGACTGAAAGTAAGAAATAGCAATGAAGAGGAAGTGTTTAATTTGCTAGAAAAGAAAAACTTTTACCAATTTTAACTTTCATCCAGAGACATGGTGGGTGCACAAAAAATAAATTAAAATCAATAAATGAAATCTTACTTTTACATTGAAATTCTTGACTGAACATTTAAACAAAGTTGTCAGACTTTCACCTGAAATTTAAAACCAATAATATTATTTCAAAGGAAAACAAAATAAAAAATATTGAGAAAAATAATGTCACACAAAAAAAGTTTAAGAGAATAAAATTTTTTTTAAAATATAATATTAGAGAATGAAGAGAAAATAAAAAGACCATTTATGTAACTATTGACTGAAAGTAAGAAATAGCAATGAAGAGGAAGTGTTTAATTTGCTAGAAAAAAAAAACTTTTATCAATTTTAATTTTCAACCAGAGACATGGTGGGATGCACAAAAATAAATTAAAATCAATAAATGAATCCTTACTTTTACATTGAAATTTTTGACTGCCATTTCCATTGACTTGTCAGGACTTTCAACTGAAATTTAAAACCAATAATATTATTTCAAGGAAAACAAAATAAAAAATATTGAGAAAAATAATGTCACACAAAAAAAGTTTAAGAGAAAAAATATTTTTTTTTAAATATAATATTAGAGAATGAAGAGAAAAATAAAAAGACCATTTATGTAACTATTGACTGTAAGTAAGAAATAGCAATGAAGAGGAAGTGTTTAATTTGCTAGAAAAGAAAAACTTTTATCAATTTTAATTTTCAACAAGAGACATGGTGGGAAGCACAAAATAATAAATAAAATCAATAAATGTTTCCTTACTTTTATGTTGAAATTCTTGATGGGACATTTCCGTTGACTTGTCAGGACTTTTGACCTGAAATTTAAACCAATAATATTATTTCAAGGAAAACAAAAATAAAAAATATTTAGAAAAAACAATATCACACAAAAGTCTAATAAAAATATTTTTTTTATTTTAAATATAATGCAAGAGACAGAAGAGAAAAATAAAAAGACCATTTATGTAAGCATTGACAGCAAGCAAAGAATAGCAATGAAGAGGAAGTGTTTAATTTGCTCAAAATAAAAAAACTTTTACTAATTTAGGTTTCATCAAGAGACATGGTGGGAAGCAAAAAAAATGTATTAAAATCAATTAATGAAACCTTACCTTGAACTAATGCCCTGACAATGTGAGTACATATTTTTAAACATTCATCTGAAATTAGAACCAATCAAATTATTCAAAGGAAAATGAAAAAAAATATTGAAAAAACATAATGTCATACTAAAGTTTTTCTTTTTTTAAATATAATGTTAGAGAGTGCACAGAAAAAAAAACAAAAATATTTATGTAAGAAATGACCGTAAGCAACGACTAACAATGAAGTGGAAGTGTTTAATTTGCTAGAAAAGAAAAACTTTTACTAATTTTAGCTTTCAATAAGAGACATGGTGGGATGCACAAAAAATAAATTAAAATCAATAAATGAATACTTACCATCACATTGAATTTCTTGACTGGACATTTCCGGTGACTTGTCAGGACTTTCAACTGAAATTTAAACCAATAATATTATTTCAAAGGAAAACAAAAATAAAAAATATTGAGAAAAAAAAATGTCACTCAAAAAAGAGAATAAAAAAGATTTTTTTTAAATATAATATTAGAGAATGAAGAGAAATTAAAAAGATCATTTATGTAACTATTGACTGAAAGTAAGAAATAGCAATGAAGAGGAAGTGTTTAATTTGCTAGAAAAAAAAAACTTTTATCAATTTTAATTTTCAACAAGAGACATGGTAGAAGCACAAATAATAAATTAAAATCAATAAATGTTTCCTTACTTTTACATTGAAATTCTTGACTGGACATTTCTGTTGACTTGTTAGGACTTTGACCTGGAATTAAAACCAATTAAGTTCTTCAAAGGAAAATGAAAATAAAAAATATTGAGAAAAAACAATGTCACACAAAAAAAGATTAATAAAAATGTTTTTTTTAATATAGTATTAGAGAGTGTAGTGTAAAATAAAAAGACCATTTATGTAAGCATTGACTGTAGGTAAGGAATAGCAATGAAGAGGAAGTGTTTAATTTGCTAGAAAAGAAAAACTTTTACCAATTTTAGCTTTCATCAAGAAGCATGGTGGGACACACAAAAAAATAAATTAAATTCAATAAATAAATCCTTACCATCACTAAAAAATTTCTTAAGACCTCATAATTCTTTACAAATTTTAAGACGAGACAGTTTTGTTATAAATTCTCAAGAGCAAAAGAAAAATGCACAAATTCACTTTTATCATGTGTTTTGGTTTTATTTGAATTCTAATTAATGCTTTTTCAAAATAACAAAAATTGCCAAAGAGTGAAGCTAGTTAAAAAAGCAGTGTAGTGGAAAAAACTCTCTTTTTCCCTACTTATTGTGGGCACATTTATCAATGTTTGCAAAAAGCTTCAACTATTTTCAACTAACTTAGAGCAAAAGAAAGGGATGAAGAGGAAACAATGCCAAAGAAAATTACACTTTCATTCAAATATTTTATCTTTTATTGTGTCTTTCATTGCATTACAGACTGAATAGAAAAAAAAGACTATTTATGTAAGCATTGACTGCAGGTAAGGAATAGCAATGAAGAGGAAGTGTTTAATTTGCTAGAAAGGAAAAACATTTATCAATTTTAGCTTTCATCAACATACATTGTGGGACACACAAAAAAATAAATTAAAATCAATAAATGAATTCTTACAATCACAAAAAAATTCCCCACGATTCCTTACAAATTTTAAGATGAGACAGTTTTGTTGTTAATTCTCAAGATCAAAAGAAAACTTTACACTTTCATCATATGTTTAGGTTTTATTTGAATTCTAATTATTGCATTTTTAAAACAACAAAAATTGCCAAAAAGGGAAGGTAGGAAAATAAGCAGTGTCATGGAAAAAAACTTTTTTTTTCACACTCTATCTTATTGTTGGAACATTTATCCATATTTGCACAAAACTTCAGGTATTTTTGACTACCTTAGGGCAAGAACAAGGGATGAAGAGGAAATAATGAAAAAGAAAATTACACTTACCTTCAAAAAATTCAGCATTTATTGTGTCTATTATTAAATCAAAGACTGAAGAGTAAAATAAAAAAAACATTTATGTAAACATTGAATGCAAGAAAGGAATAGCAATGAAGAGGAAGTGTTTAATTTGCTAGAAATTAAAATCTTTTAACAATTTTAGCTTTCATCAAGAAGCATGGTGGGACTTGCAAAAAATAAATTAAAATCAATAAATGAATTCTTACCATCACAAAAAAAATTCCCAGACCTCCTTTTTTACAAATTTTAAGATGAGACAGTTTTGTTATTAATTCTCAAGAGCAAAAAGAAAAAATTACAAATTCTTTTATCATATGTTTAGGTTTTATTTGAATTCTAATTATTGCATTTTTAAAACAAAAAATTGCCAAAGAGGGAAGGTAGTTAAAAAAGCAGTGTCATGGAAAAAACTTTTTTTTCACACTCTATCTTATTGTTGGAACATTTATCCATATTTGCAAAAAACTTCAACTATTTTTGACTAACTTAGGGCAAAAACAAGGGATGAAGAGGAAATAATGAAAAAAAAATTACACTTACCTTCAAAAATTTCATCATCCATTGTGTCTTTTTATTGCATTAGAGACTGAAGAGAAAAATAAAAAAAAACATTTATGTAAACATTGAATGCAAGAAATAAAATAAAATGTTTTTTTTTTAATATAGTATAGAGATTTAAAACTTTAAAAAGAACATTTATGTAAGCATTGACTGTAGGTAAGGAATAGCAATGAAGAGAAGTTTTAATTTGCTAAAATTAAAATCTTTTAACAATTTTAGCATTCAAAAAGCATGGTGGGACACACAAAAAAATAAATTAAATTCAATAAATGAAATTACCATCACAAAAAAATTTTAAAAAGAAAATTGAAAATTAAAAATTTTAAGACGAGAAAATTTTATAAATTGATGAGCAAATGAAAAAGAAAATTCACTTTTTTTAAGAAATGTTCAGGTTTTACTTAAATTGAAAAATGCTTTTTGAAAACAACAAAATTGCAAAGGGACAAGATAGTTAAAACAGTGTAATGAAAAAAAAACTTTTTTTTTTTCAAATTTATCAAAGAGCATTTTTTATCAATGTTTGCAAAATTCAACTATTTTCAAAACTTAGAGCAAAAGAAATTATGAAAAGGAAAAATGCCAAAGAAAATTGAGAGATTAATTCAAAAACTTCAGCTGCCATTTTAATATCAATACATCACAGACTGAATAGAAAAATAAAAAGACCATTTACGTAAGCATTGACTGCAGGTAAGGAATAGCAATGAAGAGGAAGTGTTTATTTTGCTAGAAAAGAAAAACATTTACCAATTTTAAATTTAATCAAGAGATATGGTAGGATGTACAAAAAATAAATTCATATCAATAAATGAAAACTTACCATTAACTTCAAAACCTACGCTGGGCCTTTCATGTAACTCATCATGACTTTGACCTGAAATTAGAACCAATCAAGTTCTTAAAAGAAAATTGAAAATAAAAAATATTGAGAAAAAATAAAAAGACTATTTATGTAACCATTGACTGCAAGCAAGAAATAGCAATGAAGAAGAAATGTTTAACTTCCTAGAAATGAAAAACTTTTAATTTGAATATTAAAAAAACTTTTATCAAGGAGACATAATAGGGCACAAAAAATGAAATAAAAACTTACCTATGAAATGCTTTAAAGAGTGTTTTAAGTGAGTTGTTGTGATATTCGACCTGAAATTAGAACCAATCAAATTATTCAAAGGAAAATGAAAATAAAAAATATTGAAAAAATTAATAAAAGTTTTTTTTTTTAAATATAGTATTAGAGAGTATAGAGAAAATAAAAAAACAATATTTATGTAAGTATTGACTGTAGGTAACGAATAACAATGAAGAAGAAGAATGTTTAATTTGCTAGAAAAGAAAAACTTTTTTTATCAATTTTAGACTAGGAAGCACAAAATAAATTAAAAAAATGAATATTTACCATTACAAATAAATGATAAATGATAATGTCACCAAATTTTAAAATTAAGAAAACGAAAATAAAATATTGAGAAATGATTTTTTTTAAATAAAATAAATATTAGAGAATGAAGAGAAAAATAAAAAGACCATTTATATAACTATTGACTGAAAGTAAGAAATAGCAATGAAGAGGAAGTGTTTAATTTGCTAGAAAAGAAAAAAACTTATCGATTTTAATTTTCAACAAGAGACATAGTGAGAAGCACAAATAATAAATTAAAATCAATAAATGTTTCCTTACTTTTACATTGAAATTTTGACTGGACATTTCCGGTGACTTGTCAGGACTTTCACCTGAAATTTAAACCAATAATATTATTTCAAGGAAAATGAAAATAAAAAATATTAAGAAAAAATAATGTCACAAAAAAAAGAGAATAAAATTTATTTTTTTAAATATAATATTAGAGAATGAAGAGAAAATAAAAAAGACCATTTATGTAACTATTGACTGAAAGTAAGAAATAGCAATGAAGAGGAAGTGTTTAATTTTCTAGAAAAGAAAAACTTTTACCAATTTTAACTTTTCATTAAGAGACATAGTGGGATACACACAAAAATAAATTAAACTCAATAAATAAATCCTTTCCATCACAAAAAGAATTCCATAAGTCCTCATAATTTCTTACTAATTTTAAGAAGAGACAATTTTGTTGTAAATTCTCCAGTGCAAAAGAAAAATGCACAAATTCACTTTCATCAAGTATTTAAGTTTTACTTGAATTCTAATTAATGCTTTTCAAAACAACAAAAATCGCCAAAGAGTAAAGGTAGTAAAATAAGCATCGTCACGGGAAAAAACACTTTTTTTTATTTTTTCTTATTCTGGGTACCTTTATCAATGTTTGCACAAAACTTCAAATATTTTCAACAAACTTAGGGTGAAAATAAGGGAAGAAGAGATAACAAAACAAAAGAAAAACACATATTCAAAAATTTCAGCTTTTAATGTGCCTTTCAGTTTATTACTAACTGAAGAGTAAAATAAAAAGACCATTTATGTAAACATTGACTGTAGGTAAGGAATAGCAATGAAGAGGAAGTGTTTAATTTGCTAGAAATTAAAATATTTTTCCAATTTTAGCTTCCATCAACATACATGGTGGGACTTACAAAAAATAAATTAAAATCAATAAATGAATCCTTACCACCACAAAAAAAATTTCTTAAGGTTTTACTTGAATTCTAATTACTGCGTTTTCAAAACAAAAAAAAATTGCCAAAGAGTGAAGGTAGTAAAAATCACAGTGTCATGGTAAAAGCTATTTTTTTTCACACTCTGTCTACTTGTGGGCATGTTTATTCATGTTTGCCCAAAACTTCAACTATTCTATTTAAACTACCTCAGGGCTAAAATAAGGGATTAAGAATACAGGACCCAATTATTGATGTTATCCCTTGCCAATTTAGCCAATATATCACCCAAGGTCGTATGAAATCTTTCTACTTTTGCATTACTCTGTGGAAGGTATGAGGAAGTGGTTACATGTAGTATATTTATCCTCAGCAAGACTTTAAACATTATCTTATTTGCATTCTCTAGTCTGTTGTCTGCAACCAGTTGTACCTATAGTGAGGAAATACCTTGCTAGTATCAAGTCAGACACCATTTGGGCTCTTTTATCAGGTCTCACATATGTCTCATGCCACCCCGTCAACCAATCTACAAAACTCATGATGTACAGGTTTTACACATGGGGTCTTCACATACGGTGGTCCTGGCATATCCATACACACTTTCTCAAAGGGGAAGTTGGGTACGTCTGCATCTAA